AGACACACACAGATACACACCACACACACTCAGACACACACAGGCACACACCACACACATACCCACACATACACACACCACACACACACAGACACACCACACACACACCACACACACACATACACACACCACACACACCACACACACATACACACACACCACACACACATACACACACCACACACACATACATACACACACCACATACATACACACATACACACCACACATACATACATACACACACACATACACACACACCACACACACATACACACACCACACACATACATACACACACCACATACATACACACATACACACCACACACACATACATACATACACACCACACACACACACATACACACACCACACACACACACACAGACACACCACACACACCACACACCACACAGACACACACCACACACACCACACACCACACAGACACACACCACACACACACACACACCACACACATACACACACATACACACACCACACACACACAGACACATACCACACACACACAGACACACACCACACACACAGACACACACCACACACATACATACACACACACCACACACACACCACACACACACAGACACACCACACACACACAACAGCCACACACATACACACACACACACCACACACACATACACCACACACACAGACACACACCACACACACAGACACACAGATACACACCACACACACTCAGACACACACAGACACACACAGACACACACATACGCACACCACACACACACAGACACAAACAGATACACACCACACACACTCAGACACACACAGACACACACAGATACAAACCACACACACCCAGACACACACACAGACAGACACACACCACACACACAGGCACACACCACACAGACACACAGATACACACCACACACACACAGACATCCACCACACACACAGAAACATCACGCACACAGACACACACCACACACAAACACGTGCTAACAAAGACAAAGCTCTCCCGTGTAGCCTCTTACAGGCTGTAGGGGCAAGTGCTGTGAGTAGCAGCAGCACCTGTGAAGGTAGACACAGACAAAGGTCCCCCGTGTAGCCTCTAACAGGCTGTGGGGGCAAGTGCTGTTAGCGAGCGGCACCTGTGAAGGTAGACACAGACAAAGGTCCCCCGTGTAGCCTCTAACAGACTGTGGGGGCAAGTGCTGTTAGCGAGCGGCACCTGTGAAGGTAGACACAGACAAAGCTCCCCCGTGTAGCCTCTAACAGGCTGTAGGGGCAAGTGCTGTTAGTAGCGAGTAGCAGCAGCACCTGTGAAGGTAGACACAGACAAAGTTCCCCCATGTAGCCTCTAACAGACTGTAGGGGCAAGTGCTGTGAGTAGCGAGTAGCAGCAGCACCTGTGAAGGTAAACACAGACAAAGTTCCCCCATGTAGCCTCTAACAGGCTGTAGGGGCAAGTGCTGTGAGTAGCGAGTAGCAGCAGCACCTGTGAAGGTAGACACAGACAAAGATCCCCCGTGTAGCCTCTAACAGGCTGTAGGGGCAAGTGCTGTGAGTAGCGAGTAGCAGCAGCACCTGTGAAGGTAGACACAGACAAAGGTCCCCCGTGTAGCCTCTAGCAAGCTGTAGGGGCAAGTGCTGTGAAGGCTACCGGCACTGTGGCACACGAGGGGGTGGGTGGCTACCAGCACCACGCCCGGCCGCCTTTGTCTCCCCCGGTGGCGATGTTCACTACACACCGCTACACCAGCGACTCGTTTGAGGCCGAGTCGACCTAGGGGAGGCCCAGGACCGGTTCAGATAATCGTCACCGGTGGTGTTGGTGGCCGTGAGCGGGAATCGAACTCGGGTCGCCGGGTTTCGTAGCGCAGCGTAGCGCTAACCACTACACCCACCGCTCCTCACACCAACTTCCGACTTATAATAATTATTGTCGTCAGATCAACTAATTGCAGGTGATCAAATAATTATCCATCATCAGGGCCAGGATCGATCCACCGCTGGATGAAGGCCTCCCCAAGCCAATCCCAACACCGTCGCCATTCGCCACTTGGCGACGGTGTGACGTCACCGCGGCGCCCGTGCCAGGCTAGGTGCACCACTTTGAGGCTATCACGTGAAGCGTCCAAGGCTCGCCGCTGGCACGGGGAGGTCACGTGACAGACCCAGCAGGTGCCACGGGGTTGGCCGACTGAGATGATCGGTAGCTGCACCACCAGCTGTAACCCCCCTACTGTGCCAGGCTAGGTGCAGGAGGAGGTCACGGGACAGACCCAGCAGGTGCCACGGGGTTGGCCGACTGAGATGACCGGTAGATGCACCACCAGCTATACCCCCCTACTGTGCCAGGCTAGGTGCAGGAGGAGGTCACGGGACAGACCCAGCAGGTGCCACGGGTTGACCGACTGAGACGACCGGTAGATGCACCACCAGCTGTACCCCCCTATTCTGCCAAATTGCTGTGTTTTAGCTACCTGGCGCTCCACCCGTTGTTGTGAGCATCGCTCCTCTGCCCTCCGTTGTTGTTAGAGAGCGACTGCCTCCTACTGCCCAGAAGCAGCAGCAGCAGCGTCCTTCACGAGCCTCCTCCTCCTCCACAGAGGCCGATCTTGACACCGCTGGTACCGCTCATCGGCAAGTCCACTCAGCTCCACATCCTCCCGTACCACATCAGCTCCATCTCTTCTCTAGCCCGTGCCACTCACTCACCCATCAGCTCCATCTCTTCTCTAGCCCGTGTCGTGCCCGTTTAGCTCCCTCTATGCGGCCAAACATGCTTGGGCATGCGGTGGCTGGACATGCGGGCTACGTGACCCAGCCAACACACTCACCAACACAGCACTCACCTACTCACCTACAGCAATCACCCACCAACACACCCACTTACCTACGCATCTATACACACACCCATTCATCAACTTACTCACCCCCTCACTCATCAAATCACTAACCCAACCACTCATTCACCCCCTAACTCATTAACTCACTCACCAACTCAGTCATTAATTCGCTCAATCACCCACTCACTCATAAACTCATCCACTCATCAACTCGCTCAGTCATCCACTCACTCACCCACTCATTCATCATCTCACTCACCAACTCACCCACTCATCCACTCACTCACCCACTTACTCACCATTCATTCATTCATCAACTCACTCACCCACTCACTCATCAACTCACTCAAGAACTCACTCACCCACTCATTCATCAACTCACCCAATCACTCATCAACTCACTCACTCACCCACTCACTCACCCACTCACTCATCAACTTACTCACTCACCCACTCACCCACTCACTCACCCACTCACTCACTCACCACCTCACTCACTCATTCACTCACTCACCCCCTCACTCATCAACTCACTCACTCATTCACTCACTCACGCACTCACCCACTCACTCACTCATTCACTCACTCACCCACTCACCCACTCACCCCCTCACTCATACACTCACTCACCCCCTCACTCATCAACTCACTCACTCACCCCCTCACTCACTCATCCACTCACTCACCCCTCCACTCATCAACTCACTCACCCTCACACTCATGCGCACGTGATAGCCTCCACGTGTTCACCTTGTCACGTGATAGCCTCCACGTGTTCACCTTGTCACGTGATAGCCTCCACGTGTTCACCTTGTCACGTGATAGCCTTGACGTGTTCACCTTGTCACGTGATAGCCTCCACGTGGTCACCTTGTCACGTGATAGCCTCCACGTGTTCACCTTGTCACGTGATAGCCTCGACGTGTTCACCTTGTCACGTGATAGCCTCCACGTGTTCACCTTGTCACGTGATAGCCTCCACGTGTACACCTTGTCACGTGATAACCTCCACGTGTTCACCTTGTCACGTAGTGGGAATGACGGTTGTTGTTGTTGTTTGTGTTGTTGTTTGTGTTGTTGTTTGTGTTGTTGTTGTTTGTGTTGTTGTTGTTGTTGTTTGTGTTGTTGTTGTTTGTGTTGTTGTTTGTGTTGTTCTTGTTGTTGTTTGTGTTGTTGTTTGTGTTGTTGTTTGTGTTGTTGTTGTTGTTTGTGTTGTTGTTGTTGTTTGTGTTGTTGTTGTTTGTGTTGTTGTTTGTGTTGTTCTTGTTGTTGTTTGTGTTGTTGTTTGTGTTGTTTGTGTTGTTGTTTGTGTTGTTTGTGTTGTTGTTTACGCTCTGGCTGCGTGTGCAGCTGCAGGAGCATCAGCGGCATCGGCCGCACCAGCAGCAGCAGGGGCAGCGAGGGCAGCAGCAGTAGCAGCAGGGACGGTGGTGGTGGTAGTGGACAAGCACCATCAGCATAAGGGGCAGCAGCAGCAAGGGCTCTGGTAGCAGCAGGGGCAGTAGCAGGGGCTGTGGTGGTGCAGCAGCAGGAGGGGCAGCACTAGGGGGGGCAGCAGCAGCACCAGTCGGGGCAGCAGTACGGGCGGCAGCAGCAGGAGGGGCAGCACTAGGGGCGGCAGCAGCAGCAGTAGGAGCGGCAGCAGCAGTAGGAGGGGCAGCAGCAGCAGGAGGGGCAGCAGCGGCAGCAGCAGGAGGGGCAGCACTAGGGGCGGCAGCAGCAGCAGTAGGAGGGGCAGCAGCAGGAGGGGCAGCAGTAGGAGCGGCAGCAGCAGTAGGAGGGGCAGCAGCAGCAGGAGGGGCAGCAGCGGCAGCAGCAGGAGGGGCAGCACTAGGGGCGGCAGCAGCAGCAGTAGGAGGGGCAGCAGCAGGAGGGGCAGCAGCAGGAGGGGCAGCAGCAGCAGGAGGGGCAGCAGCAGCAGGAGGGGCAGCACTAGGGGGGCAGCAGGGGCAGCAGCAGCAGTAGGAGGGGCAGCAGCAGCAGGGGCAGCAGGAGGGGCAGCAGCAGGAGGGGCAGCAGCAGGAGGAGCAGCAGTAGGGGCAGCAGCAGCAGGGGCAGCAGCAAGAGGGGCAGCAGCAGCAGGGGCAGCAGTAGGGGCAGCAGCAGCAGGGGCAGCAGCAGCAGGGGCAGCAGCAGCAGCAGGGGCAGCAGGGGCAGCAGGGGCAGCAGGGGCAGCAGCAGCTTCAGCGGCCATGCGCTACCGCTTGGGCGTGGTGTGCACGGTCGGTCCGGGCTGCCGCCTCTGGGCGTGCGGCTCGCGGGCAGAGCTGGGCGCCTGGGACCCCCGCGGGGCCGCGCCCCTCGCCGCGGCGTCCACGCACGGCGACGCCTCGTCGCTGGAGCCATCCTTCTTCTGGGGGGACGTGGAGATGGACGAGGAGGAGGGGGAGGAGGAGGAGGAGAGGGAGGAGGGAGTGGAGAGGAAGACTCCGCTGGAGTTCTCCTACAAGTTCATCAAGACGGAGGAGAGCGCCCCGGGGCGGGTCGTGTGGGAAGGTGCGTGGTGGTGGTGGTGGTGGTGAGGCGTGGTGGTGGTGGTGGTGGTGAGGGGTGCGTGGTGGTGGTGGTGGTGGTGCGGCGTGCGTGGTGGTGGTGGTGGTGAGGCGTGGTGGTGGTGGTGGTGGTGAGGCGTGGTGGTGGTGGTGCTGGTGGTGGTGGTGAGGCGTGGTGGTGGTGGTGGTGAGGCGTAGTGGTGGTGGTGAGGCGTGGTGGTGGTGGTGGTGAGGCGTGGTGGTGGTGGTGGTGGTGAGGCGTGGTGGTGGTGGTGGTGAGGCGTGGTGGTGGTGGTGAGGCGTGGTGGTGGTGGTGGTGAGGCGTGGTGGTGGTGGTGCTGGTGGTGGTGGTGAGGCGTGGTGGTGGTGGTGCTGGTGGTGGTGGTGAGGCGTGGTGGTGGTGGTGGTGAGGCGTGGTGGTGGTGGTGAGGCGTGGTGGTGGTGGTGATGGTGGTGGTGGTGAGGCGTGGTGGTGGTGGTGGTGGTGAGGCGCGCGTGGTGGTGGTGAGGCGTGTCCGGCAATCACAATCCCTTCCCTCCTCGCTGGTGCCGGAACGGTAACACTGCGGTGAGCAGCCCGGCCATGGAGCGGGGCGGGAGGACAGATTCCGATTGGCCATTCCCGTCATGGCGTCTGTAGCCACCACCACAGCGGCCAAACGGGGGCTCAGGACGGGTGCGAGTGGCTGGTAAAACCCCTCCAAATTCAATACATTACCACAATACCACGTCTGAAATATCTAATAAACAAGCTTGTGCCAGAGGCCCCTGGGGGACAGGCGTCCATGACGTCTCCGGGCCAAACCCCGTCTGGTGAATCCTTACCCTTGTGGGTTCCTCTAGAAATATTTTTTATTTTTTTTAAAAGCCACTGCGGGTGGCCACGTGGAATGTTCCAACGGAGGAGAGGCTGCCACTCCTCTGTCGGGAGCTGGACCGGTACCGCCCGGATCTCTGTGGCATTTATGGAGGTCCGGTGGACCGGCTCTGGCTCCTGCCACCATGAGGGGTGGACAGTCCTCTACTCGGGGCAGGAGACTGCCAAACAACAGGGACTGGCGCTTTTTGTGAACGAAAGAATGAAGGGGGCGTGGGAGCGTGGCGGTGAGGTGTGGGAAGTTGTAAGCCCCAGGTAACTCCGGGCTCATCTCCCCATGAACCAGAGGCGAGGTGTGGTGGTGGTGGTAACTTGTGGCACCACGGAATATGACCAGTGGAGGGATACAGGCAAGGCCAATTAGTCAGATGCCTTCTATGACCTCCTGTCACAGGTGGTAGCTCCTCAGGATACAGTCATCCTGTTGGGTGACTTTAATGCCCGGTTGGGTCATGATCTCCCAAACGAAATGCTGAGGGAGGGTAGCGTTTATGTGCAGACTGCCCTATATAGCATCATAATAACACTTTGGACAACTGGACAGATTCAGCAGGATTGAAAGGATGCCCTGGTGGTCCCCCTTTTTAAGAAGGGGGACCGCACAGACTGAGACAACTACTGGGGCATCTCACTCCTCAGTGTGCCTGGAAAGGTCCTGGCAAGGATTATTCAGCATCGCCTTGCCAAGCACGCTGAGGAGAGGCTTGCGGAGCCCCAATGCGGTTTCAGGCCAGGGTGGTCCTGCACAGATGCCATATTTTCTGTCCGTTTGCTACAGCAGAGGTGTAGGGAATTCCAACAAGACCTACATCTCTGCTTTATTGACCTAGTCAAGGCCTATGATACCATCAGTAGGCCTGGGCTATGAGTTGTTCTTCATGCTTTCGGAGTCCCTGACTCTCTGCTCACGATCATTAAGGACCTTCATGATGGTGAGCGGGCCCGTGTAAAACTACGTGGCCAGGAGTCGGAGCCATTCCCTGTTCACCTTGGGGTGCGACGGGGATGTCCTCTGTCTCCCACATTATTTAACATCTATTTCGACCACGTAGTTCGTGAAGCCTTCAATAGCTGTACTGGGGGAATCTCCATTTGGTACAGATATAATGGGAGGCTTATCGATGCCCGGGTGCGGTCAAGGGATGGCTCCCTATTGCTCAACCACGTTATGTATGCCGATGATTTGTTAATAGCTGCTCATTCAGAGGAGGAGTTGGAGACGCTGCTGCTGAGACTGGAGCGTGCCACTAAGAGATGGGGCCTTACCATCAGCCCCACCAAAACTAAGCACCTGCCTGGGTATTTTGTACCATCGGACACTCCACCCCCACAACTCCCAATCGGTGATGGGGCAGTTGTGGAGAGAGTGGAGAGTTTCCCATACCTGAGCAGTGTGCTTATGACCGGCTCCAGTTTAACAGCAGAGGTCTCACTCCGAATGAGTCGAGCGGCAATATCTTTTCATCGGTTGTGTAACGCTGCTGTGTGGAAGCTACCTGGTCTGTCGCTCCGCACTAAGCTTCAGGTATTCTTGGCCACGGTCATTCCCTCCCTTCTCTACGCTTGCGAAACGTGGACCCCCCTAATGGAACATTTTCGCCGGTGAAAAACATTTAGGCTGGCCTGCCTACGATCCATCCTGGGTTTAACCTGCAGGCTGGATTGTGTGAGGAGCTCACAAATCCTTGAAAGATCTGGGCAAGGTCTCATCGGTAAGCTCCGACAGGCAAGGTTGCTTTGGCTGGGTCATGTAGCCCGCATGCCCAGCCACCGCATGCCGAAACAGCTTTTTTTGGCCGGATAGAGGGAGCTAAACGGGCGAGGCACAGGGTAGAGAAGAGATGGAGTGATGTGGTACAGGAGGACGTGGAGCTGAGTGGACTTGCCGATGAGCGGTACCAGCGGTGTCAAGATCGGCCTCTGTGGAGGAGGATGCTCGTGAAGGACGCTGCAGCTGCTGCTGCTGGGCAGTTGGAGGCAGTCGCCCACCAACAAAAATGTAGAGCAGAGGAGCGACGCTCACAACAACGAGCGGAGCGCCGGGTGGCTAAAACACAGCAAGTTGGCACAATCGGGGGCACAGCTGGTTGTGCATCAGCCAGTCAACTCAGTCAGTCGACCCGTGGCACCTGCTGGGTCTGCGTCACTTCACGTGGCTTTGACAGGTGACGTCACCGCCACTTAGTGACGAACGGCGGTGGTTGTGATGAGGTGTAGTGATGATGAGGAGCAGTAACGTCACCACACCCGAGGTACTGCTACTCACTAGCAGCACTTCTCCCCTAACAGTCTGTTCAAGGATCCACGGGGGGGGGGGGGGGGGGGGGGGGGGGGGGGGGGGTGGGGAAGAGAGTGCGAGAGAAAAATCACAATACAGGATGATAACAATATCTTCTCCAGGTGAGAGAGACGCATCACAATGCAGAATGATAACAATAGCCTGCTCCAGGTGAGAGAGAGATATCACAATACAGAGTGATAATATCTTCTCCAGGTGAGAGAGACACATCACAATGCAGGATGATAACAATAGCCTCTCCAGGTGAGAGAGACACATCACAATGCAGAATGATAACAATAGCCTGCTCCAGGTGAGAGAGACACATCACAATGCAGAGTGATAACAATAACCTCTCCAGGTGAGAGAGACACATCACAATACAGAATGATGACAATAGCCTGCTCCAGGTGAGAGACACATCACAATGCACAATGATAACAATAGCCTGCTCCAGGTGAAAGAGACACATCACAATACAGAATGATAACAATAGCCTGCTCCAGGTGAGAGGGACACATCACAATGCAGAGTGATAACAATAGCCTGCTCCAGGTGAGAGGGACACATCACAATGCAGAATGATAACAATAGCCTGCTCCAGGTGAGAGAGACACATCACAATGCAGAGTGATAACAATAGCCTGCTCCAGGTGAGAGGGACACATCACAATGCAGAATGATAACAATAGCCTGCTCCAGGTGAGAGAGACACATCACAATGCAGAGTGATAACAATAGCCTGCTCCAGGTGAGAGGGACACATCACAATGCAGAGTGATAACAATAGCCTCTCCACTGGTCCTCACCCTGACACTGACCCCGTGACCCTACTGTGACACCGATGACGTCACTACCCCACTGGTCCTGACCCTGACCCGCGACCCCGTGACCCTGCTGTGACCCCCGATGACGTCGTCACTACCCCACTGGCCCTGACCCTGACCCGCGACCTCGTGACCCTGCTGTGACCCCCCCCCCGATGACGTCGTCACTACCCCACTGGTCCTGACCCTGACCCGCGACCTCGTGACCCTGCTGTGACACCGATGACGTCGTCACTACCCCACTGGTCCTGACCCTGACCCGCGACCTCGTGACCCTGCTGTGACCCCCCCCCCGATGACGTCGTCACTACCCCACTGGTCCTGACCCTGACCCGCGACCCCGTGACCCTCTCAGGCTGCGGACCAGCTCACAACCGCCAGAGTCTCGACGCGGAGGAGCTGGCGGAGGCGCTGGTGGACGGTGTCGTTTGCCTCCCCATCGGCCACTGGATCGAGGAGGGCGGCCACACGGACGAGTGGAGGCACACGACGGCCTTCTACCGGCACATCGCCGAGCGGCACTCCATGCACTACTCCAGGTGCCGCGCGCGGTCCGGGCGTGGTCCGCGTGAGTCCGCGTGAGTCCGCGTGAGTCCGCGTGAGTCCACCTGAGCCCGCGTGAGTCCACGTGAGTCCACGTGAGTCCACGTGAGTCCGCCTGAGTCCACGTGAGTCCGCCTGAGCCCACGTGAGTCCGCCTGAGCCTGCGTGAGTCCGCGTGAGTCCACGTGAGTCCGCGTGAGTCCGCGTGAGTCCGCGTGAGTCCACGTGAGTCCACGTGAGCCCGCGTGAGTCCGCGTGAGTCCACGTGAGTCCGCGTGAGTCCGCCTGAGCCCACGTGAGTCCGCCTGAGCCCACGTGAGTCCACGTGAGTCCGCGTGAGTCCGCCTGAGCCCACGTGAGTCCACGTGAGTCCGCGTGAGTCCGCCTGAGTCCGCGTGAGTCCGCCTGAGCCCGCGTGAGTCCGCCTGAGTCCACGTGAGTCCGCGTGAGTCCGCCTGAGTCCACGTGAGTCCGCGTGAGTCCGCCTGAGCCCGCCTGAGCCCGCGTGAGTCCGCCTGAGTCCGCGTGAGTCCGCCTGAGTCTGCGTCATTCCGTTCACGCGACTCCTCCCACTACCGCCGCCGCCCCACCGTGACGACCGCCTCGACCCCGCCCTGCCCTGCCCCGCCCTGCCCCGCCCTGCCCTGCCCTGCCCTGCCCTGCCCCGCCCTGCCCTGCCCTGCCCTGCCCTGCCCTGTCCCTGCCCCTGCCCCCCGCACCCCGCACACCCCCGCGCCCCAGAGTTCTACCGCGTCTGTGGCTGGGCTCGTGTCCGCGGGTGCCCGCCCACGTGAGCGTGACGCTGCGCTCCGCCCTCGGCGCCACGGCCCTCGTCAACCTCCAGACGGCCGGCGACGTGGAGGCCAACTGGGGAGCGTGCGCGCCCGAGGGGGCCGGCGACGTGGAGGCCAACTGGGGAGCGTGCGCGCCCGAGGGGGCCGGCGACGTGGAGGCCAACTGGGGAGCGTGCGCGCCCGAGGGGGCCGGCGACGGCGGCACGGCGGCTCCCCGCCACTTGCAGGAGCTGTGCCGCAGGGAGGGGATCGCCTACGTCTGGCTCCCCACGGCGGACATGAGCACCGAGGGTGGGGGTGGGGAGTGGGGGGGGGGGGGGGGAGGGGGGGGAGGGGGGGAGGGGGGGCTCCTAGTGATTCTCCTTGAGACGACTCCACGTGACTCCCTGAGACTCCACGTGACTCCTTGATACTCCTCCACGTGACTCCTTGAGACTCCACGTGACTCCCTGAGACTCCACGTGACTCCTTGAGACTCCTCCACGTGACTCCTTGAGACTCCTTGAGACTCCCTCCACGTGACTCCTTGAGACTCCCTGAGACTCCACGTGACTCCTTGAGACCTTCCACGTGACTCCTTGAGACTCCCTGAGACTCCACGTGACTCCTTGAGACTCCTTGAGACTCCTCCACGTGACTCCTTGAGACTCCTCCACGTGACTCCTTGAGACTCCACGTGACTCCCTGAGACTCCACGTGACTCCTTGATACTCCTCCACGTGACTCCTTGATACTCCTCCACGTGACTCCCTGTGACTCCACGTGACTCCTTGATACTCCTCCACGTGACTCCTTGAGACTCCACGTGACTCCCTGAGACTCCACGTGACTCCTTGAGACTCCCTGAGACTCCACGTGACTCCTTGAGACTCCTCCACGTGACTCCTTGAGACTCCTTGAGACTCCCTCCACGTGACTCCTTGAGACTCCCTGAGACTCCACGTGACTCCTTGAGACCTTCCACGTGACTCCTTGAGACTCCCTGAGACTCCTCCACGTGACTCCTTGAGACTCCACGTGACTCCCTGAGACTCCACGTGACTCCTTGATACTCCTCCACGTGACTCCTTGATACTCCTCCACGTGACTCCCTGAGACTCCACGTGACTCCTTGATACTCCTCCACGTGACTCCTTGAGACGCCACGTGACTCCCTGAGACTCCACGTGACTCCTTGAGACTCCTCCACGTGACTCCTTGAGACTCCTTGAGACTCCCTCCACGTGACTCCTTGAGACTCCCTGAGACTCCACGTGACTCCTTGAGACCTTCCACGTGACTCCTTGAGACTCCTTGAGACTCCTCCACGTGACTCCTTGAGACTCCTTGAGACTCCTCCACGTGACTCCTTGAGACTCCACGTGACTCCTTGATACTCCTCCACGTGACTCCTTGAGACTCCACGTGACTCCCTGAGACTCCACGTGACTCCTTGATACTCCTCCACGTGACTCCTTGAGACTCCTTGAGACTCCCTCCACGTGACTCCTTGAGACTCCCTGAGACTCCACGTGACTCCTTGAGACTCTTCCACGTGACTCCTTGAGACTCCTTGAGACTCCCTCCACGTGACTCCTTGAGACTCCCTGAGACTCCACGTGACTCCTTGAGACTCCTTGAGACTCCCTCCACGTGACTCCTTGAGACTCCCTGAGACTCCACGTGACTCCTTGAGACTCTTCCACGTGACTCCTTGAGACTCCTTGAGACTCCCTCCACGTGACTCCTTGAGACTCCCTGAGACTCCACGTGACTCCTTGAGACTCCTCCGCGTGACTCCACGTGACTCCTTGAGACTCTTCCACGTGACTCCTTGAGACTCCTTGAGACTCCTCCACATGACTCCTTGAGACTCCACGTGACTCCTTGAGACTCCTTGAGACTCCTCCACGTGACTCCCTGAGACTCCACGTGACTCCCTGAGACTCCACGTGACTCCACGTGACTCCCTGAGACTCCACGTGACTCCCTGAGACTCCACGTGACTCCCTGAGACTCCACGTGACTCCACGTGACTCCCTGAGACTCCACGTGACTCCCTGAGACTCCTCCACGTGACTCCTTGATACTCCTCCACGTGACTCCTTGAGACTCCACGTGACTCCTTGAGACTCCACGTGACTCCTTGAGACTCCACGTGACTCCACGTGACTCCCTGAGACTCCTTGAGACACCTCCACGTGACTCCTTGAGACTCCTCCGCGTGACTCCTTGAGACTCCTCCGCGCGACTCCACGCGAGCCTCCCTGAGACTCTTCTCCCCCGCCCCCACCCCCACCCACCCCCCCACCCCCCCCCACCCCCCCCCCCCCCACCCCCCCCACCCCACCCCCCACCCCCCGTAGACCGCACCCAGGTGCTCCCGCAGGCGGCCTGGATCCTCCACGGCCTGCTGGCCGGCGGCCACGTGGTCTACGTCCACTGCAACGCGGGCGTGGGCCGTGCCGCCGCGGCCGTCGCCGGCTACCTGTGCCACGTCCTGGGGTGGACCCCGCGCCGGGCCCACTACCACCTGGCGGCCCGGCGGCCCGCCGTGTACCTGGACAACGAGGCCCTGGCGAGGGCCGCGCCCGACTTCCGCCGCAAGTTCGGCGCGGCCCTCGCCCTGCGGGGGGAGGAGGCCGCCTGGGCCAGGGGGGGTGGGTGGGGGGGAGGAGGAGGAGGAGGAGGAGGAGGAGGAGGAGGAGGTCACGAGGGGTAGGAGGAGGAGGTCATGAGGGATAGGAGGAGGAGGTCACGAGGTGTAGGAGGAGGTCACGAGGGGTAGGAGGAGGAGGTCACGAGTAGGAGGAGGTCACAAGAGGTAGGAGGAGGTCACGAGTAGGAGGAGGTCACGAGGAGTAAGAGGAGGAGGAGGTCACGAGGGGTAGGAGGAGGAGGAGGTCACGAGGGGTAGGAGGAGGAGGAGGTCACGAGGGGTAGGAGGAGGTCACGAGGTGTAGGAGGTCACGAGGAGTGGGAGGAGGAGGTCACGAGAGGTAGGAGGAGGTCACGAGTAGGAGGAGGTCACGAGGAGTAAGAGGAGGAGGAGGTCACGAGGGGTAGGAGGAGGTCATGAGGAGTAGGAGGAGGAGGTCACGAGGGGTAGGAGAAGGTCACGAGGAGGTCACGAGGAGGTCACGAGTACGAGGAGGTGTTGTTGTTGTATGTAGAGACCTTTTTTCCAAAAATTAATATTAAAAATAATTCTGCCATTTTTAAAAACAATAATAATAATCGATCAAATGAATAAATAAAAACACCCTCAAAGCCGCTACCTCCCGCAAGCACCAAGCCCCTGGAGGTCGTAACAGGCCATTAAATAATCAACTCCGAGGCAAAGGGAGGTTAACGATGACGATGATCTGCAGGATCTCCAGATTGCCGAAGGACCGCATGCCTTGACCTCCCCGGACGCTTTGGACCAGGGGTTGGGCAGATTTCTTGACTCGCGGGCCACAACAGGTTCTAAAATTTGACGGAGGGGCCGGGCCAGGAACCAGATGGATGGAGCGATTTGTGTGAACTAAAAATATAAACGACGTGTTAAAAATCATTACGCGAAAGTATTCGGCCTTTTAACAGGTAGCAAAGCGTTTTACTTGCAAGGCAAAGTGCGCCATCTAATGGGGGAAATGGGGCATTGCAGGAGAAAGGTAAAATTTAATTTAATAATAATAATAAAAGCCCAACGTGCCGTATACTGCCCGGGCGCCGTACTTTGCCCGTGTCTGCTTTGGGCAGTTCACAAACAAATATCCAGAATTGTAGATTTGAAGCTTTCGTGACTGCAAGGATCCATACTCTTTGGTTCTATTGGGTAAAGTCACGTAGGTAAAAAATATATATAACGAAAATCACGACGTTTCGGCCACAACACAAGCGGCCTTCATCAGGTGAAGGGACGAGACTGTCTGCAGGACAGCGTGGCTTTTTCACTCCAGCGCTGTCCTCCAGACAGTCTCGTCCCTTCACCTGATGAAGGCCGCTTGTGTTGTGGCCGAAACGTCGTGATTTTTGTTATTTTATTTTTTACCTACGTGACTTTACCCAATAGAACCAAAGAGTATAAATATCCAGAATCACAGGCACGGACGCAGAGCACAGGGGCAAACGGGCATTATAACTGATATATATTATAAAAAAAATGTACGGAAAAAGTTTAAGCTTGGCTACAAGAATAAGTCGACATTATAGACTGCAGTATTCCTTATATTACTTCTCATTGTATCTTTCTATCTACGTGACTTTACTAAGAGCACCAAAGTACATGAGTTCCCGCAATCACGAAAGCTTAAGTCCAAACTAAGCGACATCTCTGACCTCGAGAATAACAACATAAACACTGATCCCTGGATGCAGACAGGGAGCAAAAAGTTAATAAATCCCTTGAAATACCGGAGGTAGCAGCTAATGACATTACAGATCTTGGTTAAACACAAACCAAATGACAATCGCAAGAGATTAGACCCTGGGGTAACTCAAAAGAGACGCGAGAAAATAGGTCAAATGCGCAAGACCAGATAAAAATGTATTCCACGAAATCAGAGCCTCCCTGGCCGCCTTTGTCTTCCAATGATTTGACACAAACACGTGGTAGCCGTAACATACGCATGAAGGGAGAGCGCCACCCCTCCCTAGTAGGGGAGACCACGAAGAGAGAGAGGGGGGGTTGGGAATGCAAACAAACAAAATGTGATGGTAAAACGGTCAAAGGTCAAAGGTCAACAAGGGGGCGAGGAGGTCCGGTGACGGAGGGCATATGGCTTTTTTATCTCTCTCGCAAGAGACGCGGAGAGAGGCGAGAGAGAATTTCACATTTAAGCTCGGCTAAGTCTTTGCTAAGGGGCAGGCTCCGGGTAATGCTGTGTCTCGCAGAGAAGAAGAGGGGCGAGGTGATGACGTTAGGTCGCTGAGTTCGGCGTGGACCGGCAGAGTACCGCCAAAACTTTCATCCCACCATTCATCCGGGTGTTTCGGGTCGCCTGCAGAATCGAGGATTGCGATATCGCCGCGTCGTGCCAAGCTGTCAGGGTTTTGCTAGAGGCGTGCGAATACAATTTTCGATTTTTTTTTGAGAGCGAGCGATCCCGGGGCCAGCGCTCAACTTTCGTGAAGAGCAACGAAAGTTGAGCGGCAACGACAAAGCGCGGCGCCCGAAGTACCGGGGCGGGCGGGCGGGCGTCCGTGCACGATCAAGGAGAGAGCGAGGGCAATGAGAGAGAGAAGAAGAGAGAGAGAGAGAGCAAGAAAGAAAGAAAGAGAGAGAGAGAAAGAAAGAAAGAAAGAGAGAGAGAAAGAAAGAAAGAAAAAGAGAGAGAGAAAGAAAGAAAGAGAGAGAGAGAGAGAGAAAGAAAGAAAGAAAAAGAGAGAGAGAAAGAAGGAAAGAAAGAAAGAAAGAAAGAAAGAAAGAAAGAAAGAAAGAAAGAAAGAAAGAAAGAAAGAAAGAAGAAATGAAAGAGAGAAAGAAAGAAAGAAAGAAAGAAAGAAAGAAAGAAAGAAAGAAAGAAAGAGAGAGAGAAAGAAAGAAAGAAAAAGAGAGAGAGAGAAAGAAAGAAAGAAAGAGCGCCGAGCGACGACAAGCAATCAACCTGGAGAAAGGAGGCGGAAAGCGCCAATCGTCGACCAGGCCCAGCATCGCAGAGAGCCTGCTCCACCGGGCGAGGGGCGCCTGCCGCCAGCGGGCGAGCTGCACGCGCAGTCGAGCGTCGCCAAAGAGCACGGAGCCGGAGAGGGGGAGAGAGATCGCGCGCCACCGGTAGCAGGGGAAAGAGCCTGGTCGGCCGACCCGCGAGGGAGAGGAGGATGCGCCGGCGGGCCAGGTCGCCGGCCGCCAGCGGACGAGCCGCGGGCGCTATCCGACGGCGGGATCATCGCGCGCCGGCGGCGAGCGTCGGTGCCGGACTCTTCCACCCCGGGCTGTGGACCGAAAGCTGCGGCCGCCCCAAGCCCCCGAGGGAAGAGCGAGAACGAAGCCGTTTGTACGACCATCCCCCCACACGCCCTCGCGCCCTCACGACGCATCGCCCCCGGCGTTCTGCTTCACGCGAATAATTGAGCAGGTGGCAAAGAAGACACGCAACACGCATATCGGGACAGATAAGATCGTCCAAAAAAAGTTATCTTTGTGTTTCAAGAAGGGTTTTTGCCGTTCCTAAGGTGGTGCGTTAGATATCAGCTGGTCGCGAAGAACCTTGCCGCCCGTCGAGTTACGTGGATACGGTCATTTTGGAAGTATTTTAGTCGTTCGTTTTTTTTTATTTTTTATTGCACAAACTTACCGGTGAATTAATTGATAACTACTCTTACCCTCGGTGACGTGTTTCTTTGTTGCCCGTCGTATGAATATCGTTGCGTGAATTATTAAGGGCTTTTCCTCTCGCCGTGTACGCTCGCGTTACTCTTGAGGAATCATCGATTGTACCGTTACCCAGTTAACAAACGTGACCATTGAGGGTTAAATGTATGGATCGATGAGGGGAACATCTCCAGGAGTACTGCGTTGACAATTCTAAGCATAAGAGTTGGCATATTAGAGTGTTAAGGTTTTGATTTAAAGCTTTCGTGACTGCAGCCATTCATATTATTGGTTCTTTCGGTAAAGTCACCACGTTAGAAGGGAAACAATAAAATAATAAAATATATATAAGACAATAAAATTCTCACGATGTTTCGACCGCAACGCCTGATGATGACTGCTTGTGTTGCAGTCGAAACGTCGTGAGAATTTTATTGTTTCATATACGTTTCATTATTTTATTGTTTCCCTTCAACGTGACTTTACCGAAAGAACCAAGAATATGTTAAGGTTTTGTTTAGAAATTAAAATAGCTTAACCCAGAAGTTTCTGAGTGGCGCCTTCCTAAGTTCATGCGTAATAACATTAATCATAAGAACTGTATCCTGCGGTGAGATTTGAACTTGGAGACCTGACATAGACACACTGAGACATAATCAGTAAATGTTAAAGCGAGAATTAATTGTATTATCCCGATCGATAATACAACCCTAGACAACGAAGCCGAGCTTAATCTGGCATACTTACATCACACCTGCGGAACTTCATACAATTAATTGTCTTGTCCCGATTGATGATACGACCCTGGGCAACGAAGCTAAGCCTAATTATCATAACTGCCTACATTAGCATAATCACATACATTAATACGAGTATCTCATTAATTAGCATAATTTATGTGCATGATTAATGGAATACTCGTATTAATGTAATTAACATAAATTCGGACAATTACGCATTTCTCCAACATCATTTAATTTTCTATTATTTTCTTTACATTTTCAATACCCGGCATATACAACAAAGGTCACGAGGAGTAGGAGGAGGTCACGAGTATGAGTAGGAGGATGAGGGAGGAGGAGGAGGAGATGGGGCTAAGGAGGAGGAGGGGGGACCAGGAAGAGGTCTCGAGTTAAAGGGGGGGGGGGATGTGGTGGTGAGTTGTGGGCGGTGTCGGGCGAGCTGTGGGAGGAGCCACTGAGGAGCCACTGAGGAGTGTCCGCTCACGACCGCATCACAACACCACCACCTCCACCACCACCTCCTCCACCACCTCCACCACCACCTGCACCACCACCACCTCCACCACCACCTCCACCACCTCCTCCACCACCACCTCCACCACCACC